ACTCCAAGATCCCTTTCTGCCACTGTGTTTACAAGAAGGGTATTCCCCAGCATATAGGTGTATTGCTGGTTCCTTCTCCCTAGATGCAGCACCTTGCACTTATTTGCATTGAATTCCATCCTATTCTCATCTGCCCACCTCTGTAACCTGTTTAGATCTAGCTGAATTCTCTCCTTCCCCTCCAGCATGCCCACCTCGCCCTTCATCTTGGTGTCGTCAGCAAATCTGGAAAGCGTGCTTTCCACCCCAGCATCCAGATGGCTGATAAAGATGTTGAAAAGTACAGGCCCCAAGACAGAGCCTTGGGGAACTCCACTGCCCACATCCCTCCAGGTCAAAAACAACCTGTCCACCACCCATTCTCTGGGTGCGAACATCGAGCCAATTTGCCACCCATCTGACTGTGTAGGCAGCAATGCCACAGTCACCTAGTTTTTTTTCAGAGAATGTGGTGGAAAACAGTGCCAAAGTCCTTCTTAAAGTCCAGGAAGACGACAGCCACTTCCATGCCCTCATCCATGGACTTTGTGACCTGATCATAAAAGGAAATCAGGTTAGTCAGGTAGGATCTGCCCTCAGTGAACCCAAGTTGGTTGCCCCTGAGTATTACCTCCCCTGCTGAGCGCTTGCAGATGTGCTCCTTGATAATTTTCTCAAAGGTCTTCCCTGGGTCCTCCTTTCTCCCCTTCTTGTAAATGGGGACCACATTGGCCCTTTTCCAATCCTCTGGTACCTGGCCAGAGCCCCACAAGCACTCATAAAGCCATGCCAGGAGCACCACTATGGCCCCCACCAATTCCCTCAGCACCCTCACGTGAAGAGCATCTGAACCTACTGATTTAAAGATGTCCTGCCCCTCCAACAATTCCCTAACTAGGTCATCCCTGACCCTATGCATGGTGGTGCCTCCCCTGGGTCCACCTGTAATCCTAGTGGGGGTAATGTCCTAATCCCTGTTCAGGAATATGGAGGCAAAGAATTCATTAAAGAGGTCAGGTTTTTCATTAGCTGCAATCACCAGATTGCCAAGCCTGTCCTGTAGGGGCTCCATGTTCCCCAGTGCCTTCTTACTCCCTATGTATTTGAAAAAGGACTTGTTGTTATCCCTAATTCTGGTCGCTAGCCCTAGCTCCATCTCTGCCTTGGCCTTCTTAACAACCTACCTGCAGTCACACGCAACAGAGATGTAATTCTCCTCGGTGATGGCCCCTTGCTTCCACTGTTTGTACACCTCCTTTTTTGCCCTCAGGCATTCCTGGATGCTTTTGACAAGCCATGGGAGCTTTTTAGCACTCCTGCCCCTCTTGGTGCGCATTGGGACTGACTCCTTTTGAGCTTGGAGGATCATCTCCTTGAGGAACAACCATCTGTCTTGGACTCCCATCTCATTGAAGCTCTGAGACCCCAATGCCTATCCTACTAATCTTCTTAGCTCATTGAATTCGGCCCTCCTGAAGTCAAGGACCTTTACCTTACTGCTTGCTTTCATCACCCTGTGCTGGATAGTAAATTCCAGCAGGTGATGATCACTGTTGCCCAGGTGGTGGAATACCCACAGACCCTTCACCAGTTCAGCACCTGTGGCAAGGACCAAGTCCAGCAAGGCATTTCCCCTGGTGGGACTATGCACCTCCTGGGTTAGGTGAAGGTCCTGTATCCTGGCTAGGAACCTATGTGAGCGGTCGGACCTGGCTGACTGGTCCTCCCAGCAGATGTTTGGGTAGTTTAGGTCACCCATGACAACCACATCCCTTGCCTTTACAGCCTCTGTGAGCTGACCTGAGAATTCCAGGTCCAGCTCATCCCCCTGGTGAGGCGGTCTGTAGTAGACACCCACTATCTAGTCCCTTTCCTCATGACCCCCTTGCATTCTAACCCAGAGCGCCTCAGTTAGCCCCTCTTCTAAACCCATCCTTATCACTGAGGATGTATATTGCTCTTTGACAGAGAGCGCTACACCCAGCCGTTTTTTCCCTGCTCTGTTCCACCTGTACAGCCCGTAGCCCTCGATGTCCACTGCCCAGTCATGGGTAGTATCCCACCAGGTTTCTGTGAGTCCCACTAGATCTGGGTTTTTGCTAGCTAACAGGAGGGTGAGTTCCTCCTGGTTATTCCCCATGCCTCGAGCATTTGTGTAGAGGCATTTGAGGTCTCCTGTAGGTGCACATGCCACACCTTTGTTCCTAAGCCTGCCCTGGCCCCTGTTACTTACCTGGGTACTACTTGTGCATGTCACCTGGCTTGCAGCGAAGTGTCCTCGTGTTCTTCTGTCATGACAAGGGATCCTGGTTTTCTCTGATAACAAAATAATCCCAGTTTTTTTTACTTAAAAAAGCAATTCAAAATTTTTCCATAATTAAAATGAAACACCATTATACATATAGATAGATATAGCTATATATTAGTGTTGTTACATTTTGATCACTGAAAAATATGGATTTTGGGTTACTTTTTTAAGACAAAAATTGGGGATTTTTTTAATCAGAAAAAAACAGGATCCCTGGTCATGACACAAAACCCACACTGGTCTTGTCTACATGAGACACTGACTGCACAGCAGCTCATTATTACTGTGCAGAAGCATCACATGGCATGATATGTGACACAAAAAAGGGCTAATGTGCTAATGTGCAGTATATTAGTCCAGTGGGCATTAAACATCACTTAAAAACCAGTCATCTGTGCTAATTCACAGTAGCACCAATTATGGAGCATTAAGTTAGTACTTGTTATTACAGGTACAAAATATGCTATAATTATGGTACATTAGTGAATGTGTAGACGTGCCCAGTAAACATCTCAGCGTCTACACATGCAATGCTATTAGGACAGAGCAAACTAACTCTGCAGGAGGCTAGTACTTGTAAATACCTGTAGAGTAAAAAACTCTACTATAGAGTTTTTTTACTCCACAGCAGGACACTGTGATGCTGTAGATGCTGACCAGGCTGACTGGGGCACAAAGCTGCTTCATTGAGGGAGCTATCTGCCGCCTAGCCCTGCACTGGAGCACCCTCGTGCCCCAGCCAGCCCCTCTGCAGCACACTGAGTCAGGGGGGAGCAGCCCCAGGCTGGCAGGCTGAGCCCTGGGACCCTCTGCCAGCTGGGGCTGTTCCAACCCAGCTCAATGTGCTGCAGCCTGGGCACACGTTCAGACTCCAGGAGCAATAAACTCCAGGACAATATGCACTGGAGTTTATTGCCCCATGCTAATGGCATGCGTAAATGCACCCACCATGTCATTATGGATGAGTCTTATACTCAGTTTACACTTTTGTTAATGACTTCATAAGATGTAAATCTGGAGGGAATGAAGTCCAGCCTAACAGTCAATGATTGTAGGCACCCAAATAAGTGATGCAAAGGTAAAAGAAGACAGGGATTTGCAGGACATCAGTAGTGCTGAGCTAGCTACCTGTGTACATGTTTTTACCCTACGACAAATGAAAGCTTACCCACAGTAGGTTACCCTTCAATGAAAGGGGCCCCAAGAAGTGATGTTTTTATATCACACTTTGTAATAAGATTTCAACTATGTTTTCTACTTGCAGATACAATTATTTGTTTAATCAAACAACATGGAGCATTTGCAAAAAACCTGAAAATGTTGTCATTTGGAATATTGTCTTGTTTTCTCTTCTGTTGGGGATTGGTACAGTTGAAGCTGTCCTTTGTCTTATTCAAGTCATCAATGGATTTATTGGGTTCATTTGTGGCACATGCATAAAGAGAAGAAAGGTTGGTATTTGATATAAGTTCCTATTCAAAAAGCTCTTTTGAGAGAGCCCCATTAAAAAGTTCTGACAATCTGTACAGTACTGGAAATGTAAAGAAATAAGATGTAATTTGAAGTAAATGGACAATCCAAAGTAATAAAAATCATTCTCATTAAAAAAGTATTAATTCTCCTATGGAAAGAAGATAAATAGTCTGGTGGCATACTTATTTAGGATTAAATGTTTAAGGGATGAGTGATTTTAGGAGCTTTGGTTTTCAGTGGCCGAATCTGAGAGACCAAAAGAGACCTGATTCTCAGAAAAAAAACAAGTCCTTTCTACTCTCTAAGCCCTTTTAAGGTGTCTTAAGCTAGGCAGCAAATGGCTGAGCCATCCATTACCACCAGACATTTTTAAAAATGTAGGCATTAAAGTCCCTCTCTGAAGGCCTGGGCCTCAGGACCACATTACTTGTGGGTGGACATGAAATCTCTTTTCGGTTTTCAATTCTGCCCTTGTATCAAAAAAGTCACTCTCTATTTTGATTTCCCTCCCACCAAAGGCTGGTGCTTATTTGTTGCTGTTTGTTTTGTTGTGGTTTTTGATGTTTACTTTATTGAGATTTCTGCAATGAGCCAGATATCCCTCTGGAATTTAATTAATTTTACAATCTTTAATCTATTGCCTTTCAGATAGATATTGTTGGAATGTGAAAGACCTGCAAGAAATGCCAGTGACAAGCACCTGATCTGCAGGGAAAGTTATTTGGGTAAATGCGATATATTTTATTAAACCAACAAAATAGTTGCAAAAATTCTTCTTTACAAGCTTTTGGGCACAAGCACCCTTCACAAACAAAACCCCCGAAACACGGAAGATATTGAATTTTGCTGTTTGATCTTCAGGGATTCATGTAAAATCAGGACAGTGTGTGTACTGTATATGGCGAGAACCATCAGGAGTTTCAATGCAAGAGCATTGTATAAAGAGATGGAGATGGGAGGGGCTGGATTTTCTAGAATCATTGAGATTACAAATTATCTGTTGTCTTCTCTGAATGCTTATCCTCAATTTTTGGTACCAGCAATATGATATGCTGTCTTTTCAGGAGGGCCTGGGGTATGTACTAAAAGACAAACCATTTTTGACTGCAGGGCTTTAGGGTAACTGAGAAATTAGGCCTTTGTTTCTTATGTTCTACTCCAGCAGTACCTCACAGTCAGCAGCTGAAGTAGTAATGTCACCAAGTGCCACAGCACTTGTCTACGTGGAACTGCTTGGACCAGCTTTACCATTTATTTGCTTTTCTTCCTGCCCTAGTTTTCACTCATCTTACCTTTACTACTGGGCATGCTCTTATCTTCTGTCTTCTGCACTGTCTGGCTGCTTTTCTGCTGACGCCTCTGTCTCCTCATCCAGGGCCTGCTGATTCTACTCTTCTCTGCCCTGTTGCTCTGGCTTCCACTTGCTCCACCTTCTAGTTTCACTTCTTCCATTACCTCACATTACTACTGCTCTTTCTCAAATAGCCAAGATCCTACTACTGTCACTAACACCAATCTTCTAGCTATCCCATACCAGCCTTCCAACTGGTGCTATATATCTGCTCCACCCTCCCTAGGAAACCAGCAATTACCCTACCCTGTGGCATCTACACGTGCAATTAGGGCAGAGCAATAAACTCTGGCATTTATTGTCCCAGAGTTTATTGCTCCTGGGTGCACTGTTTGAATGTGCACCCAAGACTGTAGTACATTGAGCTGGGTTGGAGCAGCCCCAGCTCTTAGGGGACCATGGGGGTCACCTGCCAACCCAGGGCTGCTCTGACTTGGTTCAATGTGCTGCGAAGGAGCTGGCTGGGGCAGGAGCGTGCTCCAGGGTGGGGCTAGGTGGCAGGCAGCCCCTACACTGAAACCTTGTGCCCTAGCTAGTCCCTCCAGCATTTACATGTGCACTGCTGCAGAGTATAAAAATCTGCTGTGGAATTTATTAGTTTACTCCAGCCTAATAGCCCTGCATGCATAGACACAAGACATTTACTGCAAACCTAATCTACTCCACAGTAAACATCTTGTGTAGATGCACCCCCTGTAAGGTCACACTGGGCACATCAACATGAGATGTTTACTGCACAGTTGCCTAATTAACTACATAGTAAACATCTCAGAGTCTACACATATGCCCCTGTTAGGGCACAGAAAGCTAACAAACTCTGCAGCAGGGTATTGGCAAGTAGTACCTTGGTCTGGAGTCTTTTCATGTACAGCAGCACACATGTAGATGCTGACCAGCTGGCTGGGGCACATGGGTGCTTCAGTGCTGGGACTACCTATATTAGAATCTAATCTTGGAAAGTTATAACTAATTTGAAAAATAATATGCTTCTGTATGTGGGAAGTTTCCAAATTAGTTACAACTTTCCAAGATTAGATTCTAATATAGGTAGCCCCAGCATTGAACCACCCTTGTGCCCTAGCCAGCCAGTCAACATCTACATGGGTGTCATCTTTATTCAGCGTTTTCCTATATTTCAGTAAATACAGGATTTCATTTTGCTCCTGGGAGTTTCTAGCCCATTTTTAAAAAATAAATTTAAGTAAGTTTCAAGGCAAAAAGTCATTTCAAAATGTTGAATAAACTGCTTTGACTATTTCAGTTTTATTCCCTCATGGTTGAACATAGCTGAATATGACATGAATTTGTGAACTGACAAGGTAAAACTGCATTTTTTTGAAAATAAACAATATGACCCCAAATTTTCTGCAGTTCTCACTATAAAGATTTCCTTTTGTTCCCTGTTTGCAAATTGTTCCTGGGCTGATCATGATTTCTATGACTCCCTTCATTATTTATAAGTACTTGCCAATGAATCTAGACAGACATATTGTAGTTTATCAGTTATTCACAAAATATTATTCATGACTTGTAATTCATGACTAGTCACTAAAATCACATTAAATCACTTCTATTCCCTGTTTAAACAAATGAAACTTTTTAAAGAGGAAAAGAACATAATGAACAATACCTCTTCAGGTTTTTATTTTCAGATGAATATTGAGATGCACAATTTGGTCACTAGTGGAAATGAAACTCAGGTGCTTAAGTGGTAAACCTGCAGGCCTCTATTTAGCCAAATAGGAACTAGTGTGGTGTTAGTGTGTAAACAGGTAAGGACCAGTGGGCTAATGCGCAGAAGACTTATTCTACTGTGCATTAGCACAACTGGCAAAAACAGTGCTAATGCTCACTAGATTTAGTCTAAGGATCACTAATGTCACCTAAAAAGTGTTTGCGCCAATGCGCAATAGTGCCGATTATGGCTCATTAAATTAGTACCTGTTATTACAGATACTAAACTTAATGTACTGTAATTACAACACATTCATAAGCATGTAGACATGCCCAGTGAGATATCTAAAGAGATATATGACATTACAGTATGTTTTCAGAGACAGAAAAAGTGTAAGCCAGACATGTCCAAAAGTTCTGCTACTGTATAGAAATCCTAAATATCTAACCCAAGCAGTAATTGATGGTTTGGCTGCCTTGACAACTGGTTTTATGGCACAACCAGCCCTGCTTGTGCCTGTACTGACAGGTTGACATGTCTGCTTTCCAGTAAGAGTAAGAAAATGCACTTCTGCAATCTTTGTTACAAGTTACAATATTGCTCACTTATATTACAATTTGTTCTATTCATTGTGCAATCAGTTGCTTTACAAATGTATGTAAATATTAAATATTATTATTCTAAAATTGTCTGTTTGATTCTAATTTGTCTGGAAAGGGAATTAAGGGAATATCTAATAAAGCAGGGTTCTTGTGTCTCTAAGGTCACATCTTTGCATAGACAAAAATAACACTTTCATTTGAGAAAGTCTGCACATTACAGTGCAGGGAGGGGGTCTTTTCAAAGGAGTACAGTTAAGTTAAGTACAGTTACACAAATAGCTAATGCTTTTGGCTAGTTGGCAAAAACAAAACAAAACAAAACATTTTGTTTGCCCTAAAATGAAGTGTTACATTTTGGGTTTGTCAAAAGGCTTTTGAATATTTTTCTAATAATATAGAAGGAAATTTTTAAGCAAAAGAAACTCAATTTTGAATCAAGATACTGAGTCTTTGCTTACATTTTAGTGAAAACATTTTTGTGAAAAAAAAATACTTTTTTGACTTTCTCAGCACAAACAGTTCAGTAAAAGTTAGAAGGCAGCCTGTGCAGCCTATAATACTCAGTGTCACAGAATCTGCTTTTTTCACAAAAACAAGTTTTGATGAGAAAACATATATATTTTTTAAAAATCAAGCAGTTCTAGTGCTATATGAAGATAAAGCTGACAAATGTCCTGGGACCTTTCCAGCTTTGCAGGACAACTTGGGATTTTGCTCCAGTTTAAAATTTTAGTTCCAGAGAAATATGGCCCATCTCACTATGATGGCAGAAGTGCCATAGTGCCATTGGCCGTGTCTAGTAGGGCTGTGCAAAATGTTGCTGCCAGTTTTGTTTTGACACTGTTTCAACCCGTTTTGAGGTTGAAACAGCAACATCAAAATGGAATACATATAGTCAAAACAGCCTCAAAACAAAATGTGAAAAGTTGAAACATTTCACCGTTTCGACACTGTTTTAACATTTCACCCATGCTGTAATGGGGAAGGCTGATACAGTCCATAACTTTGTCATTTCTGGCCTAATTTCAATGAAACTTGCAGGAATGGTAGCCTCTGCTGAGGGCATCAAGCCTACCAAGCTTCAAGGAGATAGGGGCAGGGAGTTCAGGGAAATTGCACCCCAAATTTTGAAAGCAAAACTTGTGTCATGTATGTGTGTTAAGCCACAGTGGGGTCAAATCTGCAGGCTTGCTAGCCCCCATTGAGGCCACAAATCCTGCCAAGTTTCAAGTAGATAGGTGCAAGGGTTTGGGGAAAACTGTACCTTAAGCTGCGGACAAGCAAAACTCATGACATGGGTGACACTGTATGTTAAGGCGCAGCAGGGTGAAAGCTGCAGGGCTGCTACCCCCATCTGAGGCTACAAAGCCTGCCAGCTGTCAAGGAGATCAGTGCAGGGGTTTCTGGGTTCTTGGACCCCGCACTTCTAGCTGCTGACAGGCAAAACTTGTGACATGGGTGCTTGTACAACTGTCTGTCTTGGGGCATGGGGCGGTGGGGATGGACTACTGCAGGCCTGGCTGCTAGGCCCTGCTGCGGCCACAAAGCCTGCCAGCTGTTAAGGAGATAGGTGTAGGGGAGTTCTGGGGCCTGCACCCCTAGCTGCTGACAGGCAAAATTCATGACATGGGTGCTTGTGCAACTGACTGTCTCTGTCTTGGGGCAGAAGCAGTTCCCAGCTCTGTATTGATTCTTTCCTCTCTTTAGTCTGTGGTTTTGTAGGTGTTAATCCTTGCTCATTAACTCGTTATCCTTGCTAGCTACTTTGTTACGCAATCAATCATGATTCACTCAGGGACCAGCTCGATACACAATTTGGGGTGCAGTTTCCCCCAAGCCCCTGCACCTATCTCCTTGAAACTTAGCAGGCTTTGTGGCCTTAGCAGGTTCTAGCATGCCTGCAGTTTTGACCCCACTGTAGCTTAACACATACACGTGACGTGAGTTTTGCTTTCAAGATTTTGGGGTGCAGTTTTCCCGAATCCCATGCACCTATCTCCTTGAATCTTGGCAGACTTGATGCCCTTAGCAGGATCTACCAATCCTGCATGTTTCATCCAAATCAAACCAGAACTGACAAAGTTACAGGCAGTTTTGTCCTTCCCCATTATAGCCTATGGGCATAATGTCAAAACAGTTTTGCCATTTCGACCCTGTTTCAATGGAACGGAGTGAAACAGCTGTTTTGAATTGAAACAAAATTTGAAATCAAATGCTGTTCTGTAGAAACAGTGGTCGAAACAGAGCGCTGCCATTTTGCACAGCCCTAATGTCTATAGCTGGTGTGCTGCCTTCTGAACAAGAAGTCATCAAGCCACCTTTGTGTGACTTTGTGTAAGAACAAGACTGGTGCTGTTCTGGGATCATACTGTCCAGGTTTTGACTGCCTTAATTTTTATAGCTTTATATTCCACTAGCTCCTGAAATGAGCTACTATGAAGAGCTTTGTAGTCCATCTGCTATATATGTAATTCAGGTCCAGGATACAGGTCTGCCAGAAATCAAGATGGCTATACAATTCATGTTCTTCTCTTCTTTGGGTACATACAAACATGAGTAGGAATATTGTTGCCCTTACCTGCATACTAGGAAAATTTTTATTTACTGCAGATGGGCTCACAGAGCTATAAGTCTGAAACCTGAAAAGTCCTTTGAGACAGAAGTGAAAACTTATGTATACTTAATTGTCAACTCACTCCCTATAGCAGCTAGGAAACTTCAGGAAATAGAAACAGAGAACAATTCCTTGGGACTCGTGAAAGAAATGACTGTTAATGCTCGGCCAGAGGACAAAAGTGACTGCAACACAGATGTAACATATTACCAGAATTGCCAACAAGAACTTTTTTTGATAAAAGGAACAGTTTTTAAAGGCAGTAAGTTGATGATACCAAGGAGCCTACAAAAATTCTGTGGAAGATCCATGCGGGTTATATAGGAATAGAGAAATGTATAAAGTGAACATGCAAAGTGATCTACTGGCTCAGGAACAATAATAACATTACTAACATAATAGAAAAATGTTACACCTGTTTAAAGTT